TAAAGAAATCCTTTGGTACTCTTGGAGTGTGTCTCTGGACCGCTAGCCATCCCCAAACGAACGGGGTTCGGGCCTCCACTCGGACTACCCGATAACAGCTCACCGGAAGTGCCACCGCTCGTGCCCATCGAGGGTAGCGAGGCACATTCCACCCCTCCTTCCGAGCGAAAAGGAAGCGCGAGGGTCGATAAAAGTCGGGGAACCCCTGACGGCCTTTCTTGCCCTATGCAGAGGCTAGGGGCTCCTCCTCCTGCAAATATGCCAAGACCCCACGACCGGGCTCGCGCCCAAAGGGGCCTCGGCAAACAAACCCTCACGCGAGGGGCATATAAAAGTCGGGAACTCCCGACGGCCCTCTCTCGCAAGCAGAGGCTAGGGGCTCTTCTGCGACCTTGCCGAGACCAGAATGGGCTCGGCAAACAAACCCTCACGCGTGAGGGGCGTATAAAAAGTCAGGGGAACTCCCGACGGCCCTCTCGCTCTGCGCAGAGGCTAGGGGCTCTTCCTGCGACCTTGCCGGGACCAGAATGGGCTCGGCAAACGAACCCTCCGTCCGAACAAAAAGGATATGTGAGGGGTGAATGAAAAAGTTAGAAGACCCCCGACCGTCCTCTTGCTCCAGGCGAAGGCTCGGGGGCTCCTCTTGCACCCAAAAACCAAGACAAAAAACACGATAAAAGGCGCCGAGCCCGTTACGGTCCAGGGGTTCAAGGTGGGCCTCCAAAGAGGTTTCGACACCGCCCAGGCAACAGAGTCGGGACGACTTGGGCGAGCCACGAATGGCCCAGCCCGAACAACAATCGCTCGGGCGCCCTAAGTCATGTCCGAGACCGACAGTGAAAGTATCCGAATGGGATCCCACCGTAGGGAGGCACCGAGCCACCGAGGTCCAGCGAACGGCCTCGGCACCCACTAGAGAAATCCTCCGATACTTTTGGAGTGCGTCTCTAGACCGCTAGCCGTCCCCTAGCGAACGGGGCTCGGGCCTCCACTCGGACTACCCGATAATAGCTCACCGAAAGTGTCCACACTCACGCCCATCGAGGGTAGCATGGCACATTCCACCCCTCCTTCCGAGCGAAAGGAAGCGTGAGGGATACCCAACGTCCGGGGGACCTCGACGAACCTCTCGCCCATGCGGAGGCTAGAGGGCCTTTTTTTGCAACCTCGCCGAGACCCCAAGAACCCGAACTTGCGCTTATGGGCTCGGCAAATGCAATAAGAGCTGATCACTCAAACGCTGAAGTGGAGAAGCCCCTGAGGAGTACTTCACTCACCTCCAGGGGCTCGAAGACTCCGCGGAAAGGGCCAGGCGCACTCCACCGAACCTCGAAAACAAACCAATTCCTACGGAGCAGGCATAAACCCAGCCTCGACGAACCCTCAGGGAGAGTGCACGCACTCACCCCGAGGCTCGGGGGCTACTGTCGGGTACCTTAGAACGGGGTACCCCAAGCAAACATCAAAATAAAGCTAGAAGGTAAGCCCCTCACCTGCCACGACCGAGCCCTCCTCCACCTCGCCTCGAGCCTCGAGCAGGAGGTCTCGGAACAAACTCCGCCTCGCGCAAGGCTCCCCAGGGTAGGTCTCGGCAGGGGGCGCCGAGCCTCGGCAGGGGGCGCCGTCTCCGTCTCGCCCGAGGCTATCCAGGGAAGGCCTCGGCAGGGGTACATTCTCCGTATCGCGCGAGGCGTCTCGCGCAAGGCCTCGGCAAGGAACCTGATCTCCGTCTCGCGCGAGGCCTCATTCTCCGTGTCGCTCGAGGCCGGGTCGTCCGCATTCCGTCGCCCCCCCGCCTCGGCCGACCCTCCCAACAACTCGTCATGTCTCATTAATGCTTCAACCACTCCCGCAATCTCAGCCGGACGGTGGCTCAACGCCACAGGATGGCCGACGCGACCCGAGGTCGCATCAGCGCCATACCGGCCGGGACAGGGTACGATGGGGTTACCGGCCACTGTGTCCTACCACTGTGTCCACGATCAGCGCCATACCGGCCGGGACAGGCACGACGGGATTACCGACCACCGTGTCCTACCATCGCGTGTCCACGATCAAGACCATACCCATTTGGGACAGGTACGACGGGATTACCGACCACTGTGTCCAAACGTTGTACCCATGATCAGCCGCCCGCTCAAGGCCTCGGCACTGTACACCGGGGCCTCGGCGATCTTGGGGTTCGTGCCTGCCGAGAGCCCCCCACCGCAGTGCGAGCCTCGGCATCGACCAAGTCTCGGCCTCGCGCACAGTCCATCCACAGTGGCTTGCACGGTCGCCGCCGCGTCCACTCCGAGGCATTCCCGGGGCTCCCACGACGCACAGGATCTGATGGGATGACCACGCCGCCCCAGTACTCCAAGGATGGACCACTCCGACGGCCACACCGCCACAGGAACAGGCTACAGGGCCCGGACACGCCGCCTCTGTTCACACGACGCCGTATAGTCAGCTCATGTACCGCCCTAGTCCTCCCTTCATGCTATAAAAGAAGAGGACCTGGGTTGTTTTAAGGGGGAGAAAGACCATGTAACACACACGCACACTCTTGCCGCCGGAGAGCAACGTCTCAAGCGGCCCGCACGGCACCCTGCCGAGACCCAGGACCAGCTCTTTCTCTCCTTTAGCTTGTAATCCCCTATTACGAGCACCTCGGTGCAAGGAATACAAGATCGATATCTCAGACTGGAAGTAGGGCCTCGATTGCCTGAACCAGTATAAACTTTGTGTCTCTTTGCATCACCATCCGGATTGGGAGCACGCAGAACAAATTCACTGGTTGGTTGAGGACCCCCCGGTCCGAAACACCGACAAAGTTATTTATATCTAAACGTCAGTTGTATTTTTTTGTACGAATGTAACAAAAGTAGAGGTGTGTTTTAGTTGTTTATTTAAAGAAATTGGAACTTGTTGGCATTTAAAATTTATTTATTTGTTTTATAATCCTGACATTAGTATTTTTATGACTTAGTATATTGCAAATGTATGTTAGTAACATTAGTATTTTTTATAATCCCGACATTAGTATTTTTATAATTCCGACATTGGTATTTTTATAATCAGTCATTAGCTTTTGACACTTATTTATTAGATTTATACCATCAGATGTGTTCATGCACGTGATGTACCTCTACGGTGCCACGTCTGGCACGGGCACGAGGCCGCTACACCAGTTTGGAATTATGGCAAGAAACAAGCTATTCTTGAAATAGATATCATGTACACATTTGCAGTTTGTTGCCTTTTTTGTTTTTATTTTTTTCTAAATATTTTAATTAATTAGTAATTACTTAATTATTGTATGCACTTCAAAAATCAAGGGCTAAGATTTATTTGAGATCTTACCTCCTATAGAGTAATAGTTGTACCTTAGCAAGGCCCTTAACAAATGGACTTTTGGTTTATATATTAAAAACATTTTTTTTCTCAAACACGCAAAAGATTTGCGTATCATTGTATTAAGAAGAAGAGTTTAAACATACAATATACTAGAAGAACGCCCTGCGCATTACTACGGGAATCGCTAGTAAAATTATATTACTTATATTTACTAATATGATTGAATAAATATCATAATACATGTTAGTGGTTGAATTTTAGCATTCTGATATGGACAACTAAATATATGTCAGTAAATGATGTCGTTTGCTAATGTGAATAGCTTGAATGAAGACATAATGACATGTGTTAGTGGATGATGATGTAGACACTTTGCATGGTGAGATAGTTGCATGTGCTAGTGGGATGTTCCAGTGTACGTTGATGTGGACACTTTGTATGGCAAGATAAATTGCTAGTGGGGTTTGAAAATATATGTTTAGCATTCTGATGTGGACTAAATATATGTTAGTAAATGATGTGGTTTGTTAATGTGAATAGCTTGAATGAAGACATAATGGCATGTGTTAGTTGAGACTGATGTGGACACTTTGCATGCTGAGATAGTTGCATGTGATAGTGGGATAATTTAATGGATACCGATGTGACACTTTACATGGCAAAATAAATTGCTAGTAGAGTTTAAAAATATAAGATATATAGATATAGATATAAATTTAAAACATGTGTCCTAGTTTTACATTCGAACATATCCTTCAACAAAACAGGGGCGAAGCGGTGCATATTTGCACCCCCTAAATTTTGTAAAAACAGTGATTTTTTCTAGATTTTCATAATATATGCATTACCAATAGCATAACTCCATGCACCCACCAGGCACGGGCACCCCACTCTAATTTTTTCTATCCACGAAGGGAAAAATGTCTATCTTACCCTTTTTTTTTTGTGTGTGCTTCACTCGCTTGAACTGATAAAGATGAAAACTGGCAGCAGCTTTGGTGTACTCTTCTCTTATCTGCCTATTAGTTTTCACCAAAGTACATGCAGACACCGAATGTGACTGCTGACTGCCGTAGATGACAAGGAGGCGCTAGAAACTGCAGGTTGGATTTGTATCCAGTTATTGCATTTTGTTAGATCAAATCTCATGGACGTTTTTTTGAAAAGGTTCATGGACGTTGAGTTTGTTCGCAGTTCGGACCTAACATACACTGTTCAGTTTCCAAAGGTATGGGAAACAGAGATACGGAGTATACAACAGCCTGAATATTTCTTCGTCTTCTCACTGAAAATCTCAGTTCTTATGGTGTAGTGTAAGTTTGCATGTAAATAATGATGGCCTTTCCTTGAGCGAACTATCTTGGATAGCTTAGCTCAATGCATCCCCTTCTGTTCCCAATTTTATCAAGCCTCCTTGTATTGATCCTGTGCAATTTATTAGTACTACTCTCTACTAATCGAGCCGACATGCGAGCCAGCGCGCTCAAACGGTCAAACCGTAGGTGCCAAAGATAGCATGCCACCTCCGTCACTCTCCGCCACCCGTGTAACTGATCCGCGGCCACCGCCTTCGCGCTACGTCGTCGAGCTAACCATGGTCCGATGTCGCACGCCCGCAGCTTCCCTGCCCAGTCGATAGAATAACTAAGCCGCGTCCCACCATGGCCCCCGCCCCCGCACTCGCCGGCATTCTGCTCGCCCTCGTTGCGCTGGCTGTCGCCGTCCACGCGCCAGCCCCCTCGCCGGAGGAGTCCGAGTCAACGTCGCCGTCGGAGGCACCGGCCGGGGAACCCATTGCGTCACCCGCCGAGGCACCTGATGACGATGCCAGGGAGATGGAGAGCCCGTGGATGTCCCCCGCCGAGGCCCCGGCGCCCTACGGCGACGAAAACGAAGGGCCCGCTGCTTCCCCGGAGGAAGAAGACGCGCCCGCCATGGCACCGGGCTTCGACGCTAACGGCCCTGCCGCCGCTTCGCCGGAAGAAGACGCGCCCACCATGGCACCGGGCTTCGACGCTAACGGCCCTGCCGCCGCTTCGCCGGAAGAAGAAGCGCCCACCATGGCACCGGGCTTCGACGCTAACGGCCCTGCCGCCGCTTCGCCGGAGGAAGAAGCGCCCACTATGGCGCCGGACATCTCTCCCTTCGCGAGCGAGCCGCCAGAGGAAGAAGCGCCCACGATGGCGCCGGACCTCTCTCCCTTCGCGAGCGAGTCGCCGGAGGAGGAAGCCCCCGCGGGCGCCCCAGAAGAATTCGAGGGCGCACATATCGCCGCTCCCCCGCTGGAGGACGCGCCCACCATGGCGCCGGCGGCCTTCGCTCCCTTCTGGGCCAGCGAGTCGCCGGAGGAGTCTGAGGCCCCAGCCGGCGCCCCGGAGGAGGAGGAGGCGGAGGCCGAGGCCGAGAGCCCGTCCTCCGAGATGGCCGCCGCCCCGTCCTCCGAAGACTACGGCGTGTTAGAAGAGGAGGTGGTAGTACTCTCGCCGGACGGGTCGGCCGCGGTCAACAGCGGCCCGGAAACCGAGGAAAGCCCGGCCAAGGGGACCCCCGCGGCCGCGGAGGCTCCAGGCCCCTCATCCGACGGCGAGGACAGCAGCGCGAGCACGGGCACCACGCGTCGCAGCCTCGTGGCTGCCGTCATCGTCGCGGTCATGTCCGCCGTTGCTGCTTTCTGAGGTGCCGCCTGCGCGATCGATGAGGCACCCGGCGGTGGAGATCGGAAGGCGGATCGCAGGGCATGCAGCCGTGCATCGTGCATGCATGCGAGCGGCGAGCGATGTAAACGATGCATGTCGTGGAGGGATCGCGATCAGTGGTATATTCTTTCGGTAGTTCCTACCAGTCGGATCATGTTTGCTCTGCAGGCATCGTGCATTCAGGTACTGATTTGCTCCGAAAGGGTGCATGTAAAGTTGTAAACGATCCGGTCATTTGAACCTCGAGCATCGATGAATGAAGACATGGGAAAAGCTATGCCGCATTCGGTTCAACACACGTTTTTTTTTTATCGTCCGATCTAGCGTTGCTAGCCGCATCTGGCGAGAGGATCTGGGTTATCATTTCATTGTTTTTTTTGGTTGTCATCATTTCTTCACGAACGTGCATCTTGCCCGTATTTCATTAAGGCAGTTGGTTTTTTTGAGTTGCACTTTCGTTGTTATTTCATCAATTTCTTCACGAACGTGCATCTTGCTGTGTAATTAGTTTTATTTTTATTTATATTTAATGCTTCAAAGATTCGATGTGATTAAAAGGATTGGTTGTCATCATTTCATTTCGCTGTTTTTCTTTTGCGAATTTTCATTTCTTTGTTTCTTTCCAAGCGTGCATGAAGGAGATTCTATTCTAGGAGAGGACGAGAGGTAGCTTTTCGGCCTGTTTGGAACAACTTTATTGTGCCACAATTCAGTTCAAAGCTAGGTTTTTTACTAAGCTAGATTTGCTAAGAATCAAAGCACTTAAAAGCTTAGCGTTTGGGAGGAGTCAGCTTCCGAACTCTCCGCCACAACAGCTCCTGCGAGTCGTCGCTGCTACCTGGGCCACTGCCGCCTTGTCCTCCATTGGTGAGGAAGAGGAGGGGGAAGAGCGCTGCCACCTTGTCCTCTACCAGCTGTCGCGGTGCGCCGGTGCGCGGAGGAAGATCCCGACAGAGGCGGAGGAGGAGGAGCCAGCAAAGCAAATGAGCGGGACGAGAATGAAGGATGAGCAGTGGCCAGTGGATCTCCACCGCCACGGCCTCACTGCTCAAGCATGGCCTAGATCAAGAGACGAGAGTGCCATGGAGGAATCGCGGGGGAATTCACCCATTGTTGTCCTAGCACCGATTCTGATTCCACGTTGAAACGGTATGGGGTGGCCCCGCGGGGTTCACGGTCGAGAGAAGTCAGCTTGGAAGCGCGTCGATTGGGGTAGTTTCCTTGCTGTTCTTCACTATAATCTGGTAAGAAGCTACTCCAAACAGACCCTTTGACTGCTAGGGCTCGTCGATTCGATTCTCCCCTTTCTCAAACATACAGACATCCTTTGTGATTGTCCGTCTCATCATTTACTTTTGTTTGATGTTGTTTTAGTTTGGTTGCATCTCCTACCGATTACAAGACCTGGGCTCACTGTGCGATCTATGTTTTGGCAGGTGTGTATCAATATTTTGTATCTAGGATTTATTGAGGTCCTTGTATTTTGGGTTAATAAAAAAATTATTTAGGATTATAGCATACGAATTGGAGCCAAGTGTTGTTTTATATGTTCCCTCTCTCCAATTGACATCTTTTTTGTGATTCAATTTAAGGTTGTTTGGAGGATTAAGGGCTTGTTTGCTTGAGCTATAGCTTTTGAACTTTTGAGTGAAAAGCTAGCTTTTTGGATTTTAGTTGTTGGTTTTTTTGCTATTAACTTTTGTAATATATTTTTTGTTTCTCAGCGTACCAAAAACTAGAAAACCTGCTCTAACATATGCTTTCAACTTTTTGTTTGTTTTCTCAGACTTCTTTCTAGTTTTACAAAAGCCAACTCTACATCTAGGTTGTTAGTTTTTGGCTAGTAGAAGCCAGATAAAAGCTGAAACAAACGGGCTCTAAGTCTCTTTTCTATTTGTTTGAGCTATAAGTTTTAGGCTTTGGCTGAAAAGCTATCTTTCAATCTTTTGGGTGTTGGTTTTTTTTTGTTATTGGTTTCTGTAATATATTTTTAGCTTCTTGGCACACTAAAAATAAAAAATTTCTATAAAAAGTGCTTTTCAGCTTTTAAATTATTTTCTCCGGAAGCTAGCTTTTCAACTTTTCAAAAGCTAATTGAACCGCTGGACTGTTTGTTTCAGCTTTTGGCTTTTGGTTGGTATAAGTCGGATAAAAACTGAAACATACAGCCCTTCGCTGGTCATTGTGTGTTTCGGAGTTGTCTCCAGGGCTGCGAGCCGACGCAAATGCGCAATCTCTTCTCTTCCTCTTTGACCGGCGCAGCTATCAGTGGCGGCTGCCGGCTTGCCAGCACCGTTCCACCTCACCTGACCGACCCAAGCGAGCAGACCTGCTGGCTGCTGATGCACGCTTGCCTTGCTTCCCCGCGGCGCGGAGCTGTAAACGTAGAGTTGAACAGTGTTGGAGTCACACTTTCACAGGCTCTGGGAGAGTGGCAGCCCACCTCCTGGGTCGCGGCAAGAGCTGGCCGGTGGGGAAGTGCGGAAGTTTCTGACCGATTCGAACCGCATGGCCCCTCAGTCCTCACCGTGTGGCACCTCGAGGCCGGGCCGTTGCCAATCCCACAGGTCCACAGCTGGTTTCGCCGGGCAAACAAGCTATCTAGCAGCATCGGATTCGATCGGAGCTTTTTGTGCTTTAGCGCGGTTGCGGCTCAACTTACCCTCACCGGTCGCCGGAGGGATCCAGCGGAAAGTGACGGCGGCACGTGCACTTTGCACCGCCCAGGGGCTGAGGCTGAGGGGCGGGGGCCTCAGCAGCAGGATTACATTGGTCGATGCACCCAGCGCACATAAGAGAACATGAGTTTATTTTATTTATATATATATATATATATATATATATATATATATATATATATATATATATATATATATATATATATATATGTTGATATTCATCGATCTGTAGCTGGCCCCTGAAACGTTGTTGTTTGGTTAATGGCACGAGAACACGGAACACGAGAAATTCACGCAATTTCTCTGCCTCTGCTCCAACCGAAATTCGGTGGCAGTTGGGACCCGTGTCCGCGGCAGTTGATGGCCGTGGAGAAAGCCACGGAGCGGATCTCTAGAGACAGATATGACCTTTTCACCCTGGGAAACTCGGTGCAAATCCGATGGACGCCTCGTCATTCGTTTCGCTGGGCTACATGCATGCCCCTTCTGCTACGCCGCCACCTTAGGCCGTGTTTAGTTGGAGGCCGGATTCGGCGCCGCCGGATTCGGCAGCACTGTTTAAACACTGTAGCATTTTGTTTTTATTTGGTAATAATTGTCCAATCGTTGACTAATTAGGCTCAAAACGTTCATCTCGCAAAGTACAACCAAATTATGCAATTAGTTTTTAATTTCGTTAACATTTAATACTCCATGTATGTACCGCAAGTTTGATGTGACGGAGAATCTTCTTTTTGCATAGTGCCAAATTCAGAAAATCTGGGGAACTAAACATGGCCTTAAACGAAAGCCTGGTAGTACCAATAAAAGCTTCTTCACAGGTAGCAAGAGCAACTCCAACCGATCCCTCAAATTTTGCTTCTCTATTCCTGCAAATGAGAATCTCTCATCCATATTTCATCCCCTACTCTTCAGGGTACTCTAACCGATCTCCTAAATTTTCTCTACTTTTACACTGTATTGTCATGGACCCTGTTTATTGGTCCCACTTGTCAGCTTTATGGAAGAGAGAAAGCAGTATGAGGGAGAGGATGAGGGACTCCTACATCTAGGGGTTTAGGAGAGAGAAATGAGAGTCCATCATCCATCGGGGCTTGAATAGGGGTTCGGTTGGAGAGGTTTTTGATGTGTTTGAACTCTCGAAATAAGATGAGGGCTCAAGTAAGAGTTCGGTTGGAGTTGCTCTAAAGCCTAGTAGTACCAATAAAGCACAGTTTAGGTGCGATGGAGTAAGAGGGCTGTACTACGAGCAAGACTAATAATACATTCCCTATGTGTTTGAACTTATTAATCCCGCTTACTAGCTATGTTACATCTTTTTTTTCTCATAACAAAACAACATTAGCCGGCTTATCAACTGCAAAAATCATGGGTCGAACATCAGGCCGGCTGCTGGCTGTAAGATTTGTTTGTAGCCTTCTCTCAGTCCACTTATATAGTAGTTAGTTCTTCACTATTAATACATGATCCGCTTGCCTCTTTCACAGAGTTTTTTTGTTCTTGTGTCTAAGCCAGCTGTAAGTTTACAACTCGTTTTCTCCTCTCTGTCCTCTCATGTCTCCTCTACCTCAACATTTAGCCAGCTTATAGCCTCCTATTATACTTGCTCTACTGCTAGTGACATTGTCATTGTTTTTTCCCCAACAGCTGTTGGAAGTATGATCTAGAGGATGGCTAGCTACCGACTGTTTGCCCACGTTGCCCTTCACGTATCACGTCCCTTCGTCCCGGCCTGTTCGCTTACTATTTCAGCAGTACTTTTTTTCTCGAATACGTCAAAAAATTTACGTATCATTGTAATTAAGAAGAAGAGTTCAACCATACAAACGACGCGCTACTGATGAGCGCCCTAGGAGGTCGTACAGTCATAGGCTAGACCGTCCTAGTAAACAGGTTCAAGCTTCGATATTACATAAATGGTTTACAACCGAGCTAAGAGCAGCGCTACCATCTACGAAGTCAGACGTCTTCGCTGCTGGCTGCGTGACCCTCCATCTGCATCCGAGAAGAGTGCTCTTCTGCCAGTCCTACTGTTGGTCGCTGGGAACAGCTCGTCCAGAGCTGCAACGTGGCTCGGCGTCAAGTTCCCTACGAAAAAGGCGTCGTATGTTTGCTTGGACACGGATGAAACTGGCGCCGTCGGTGGCATGATGCCCATCCTCTTCAGGAGGAGTACCTCGCCTGGTTTGGCGGTCGGTATGTGCGCCAGTGGTTGAGCAGCAATCCGCTGGCTCCTGAGTGGCAAGGGTTGCTTTTGTGGTTGCCGCCTTCTGCTGGACTGGCGATTAAAGACGACTTCCGCTTGAGCTGCACCTCCTCAACGAACCGTGCGAGACGCCGAGCAGCCTCGCCTGGCGTGGGCGTCGTGTCGCTGGGAGTGGGTGTGCCCACCGTGTCTGCAAAGCCGGTTTGTCCCACCGGTGGTGGCGTGAGCTGTGGCAGCTGAAAGCTCTAGTTTGGTTTTGGTAAATTGATGAAACCCTAAGTGCTAACCTAGTTCATCAAGTGATCATGAGATAGGTAGCACACTTCAAGTAGAGAAGCAAATGAAGATCATAACATGACAATGGTGATAGCATGGAGATGATCAAGGGCTTAAACTTGAAGAGAAGAAAGAGAAAAACAAAAAGCTCAAGACAAAGGTATAACTTGTAGGAGCTATTTTATTTTGGTGATCAAGACACTTAGAGAGTGTGATCACATTTAGGTTTGATAGCCGTACTATTAAGAGGGGTGAAACTCAGATCGAATCACGGTTATCAAAGTGCCACTAGATGCTCTAACTCATTGCATATGCATTTAGGATCTAGTGGAGTGCTAACACCCTTGATAATATTTGTGTAAAAATGCTACCACATATGCACAAGGTGTTTGTAGGGTTGAGATGGGTTTGGGTCCGGCGCTTTCGGGAAAATGAAATATCTATTTTCTATTGCGCGGATGCAAAATTCTTGGTGGTTGGCACACTTGAGCAAGGGTGAAGAAGTAAGAGTTGAAATGGAGTTGATCGAATGATGATCTTTGTCCAAAGGACCGATGACGTCAATCCGAATCAGCGGACGCCGACCGCACGCTGCGTCCGATCGCTACTGACTTCAATGATCTGATGGCTAGGGGTTGAGCACCGGACGCTGGCTGCGTCCGGTCAAGGTGGACCGGACGCGTCCGGTCGAAAAATCATGCCTCGGGGAGCTTACTGGAAACGACCGGACGCTGGGGCTTCAGCGTCCGGTCAGTTTTACCGGAGCGTCCGATCAGCTTCGAGATCGTTGAAATCTGACGAACAGCATTTGAAGCAGGGGACACGTGGCGTGTATCACGTGACCGGACGCTGAGGGCCAGCGTCCGGTCGATCGGACCGGAGCGTCCGGTCACCCCGCGTTGTGCCCAGTGAAGGGGTACAACGGCTCTATTTGATTGGGGCTCTATTTATAGCCCCATGGCCGGCTCAAGGGAGCTCTCTTGCACATTTTCATTGACATAGCAACCTTGTGAGCTTAGCCAAAGTCCTCACACTCATCTACATCATTGATTCATCATCATAGTGAGATTGTGAGTGAATCCAAGTGCATTGCTTGAGTGATTGCATCTAGAGGCACTTGGTGATTGTGTTTCGCTGCGAATTTCGCTTGTTACTCTTGGTGGTTGCCGCCACCTAGACGGCTTGGAGCAGCAAGGATCGTTGAGTGGAGGAGGTGATTGTCTCCGACTCCGATCGTGGTGATTGTGATGGGTTCTTGACCTTTCCCCGGCGAAGCGCCAAAAGGTACTCTAGTAAATTGCTTGTGGCTTGTGTGATCCTCATCTTGTGTTGGTTGTGCGGCACCCTATCGAGGGTTTGGCGAGTGATGCCAATCAGCGCGTGAACCTCCAAGTGAGTGAATCGCCACAACGAGGACTAGCTTGCCGGCAAGCAAGTGAACCTCGGTAAAAATCATTGTGTTCATTATTTGATTCTGAGGTGATTGGTCTACATTGGTATTCATTATTGTGATTGATTGGTTCCTACCACTACACGGCGGTATAACTCTCTTGCTCACTCTTACATTACCACAAACTAGTTATCAAGCTCTTTAGTGTAGCTAGTTGTGAGAGCTTGTTTATTTGATTAGTGTTGCTCTTTAGTTAGTCTTTGAGAGCACACTAATTTAGCTAAGTGTCATAGCTATTGTGTGGACATATACTATTCGAAATAGAATTGTGGTAGGTGGCTTGCATTTTAGTAGGCTAGCGCAACACTCGCTTCGCCGCAAAATTGTCTAACACATTTTGTTAAGTGTTGTTGTAGAATTTTATTAGGCTATTCACCCTCCTCTAGCCATTAGGACCTTTCAGCAGCCCCTGCGCCAAAAACATTAGGCAATCCCGACACCCGCTGAGCAACCACCGGAGAACGGGTGTCCACCGTCGATGCCTCAACCTCCTGAGGGGCGGCCGCCTGAGTAGGTTGGCACCCAGGCGTTGGTGCTCCTGCTAGCCAACTCACGACGAGCGAGGCGTCAAGCTCGTCCAGCATTGGGTCTACCCACATGGGAGGCCCCACGCTCATGCACATCTCCGACACCGGTTGGTCAGCTCGAGGAGGGAGCAAAGGCGCAAAGAATGAGCGAGGGTGTGTTGTCGGCGGCAGCGGCCCAACGCGTTATCGTGTCCGATCTCGTGCTCCAAAGCCGGTGGCCGAGGTGAAGGTCGCCATTTGCTGGGCCGCCCGTGACACCTCCGTCGTCGGCGCCGGCGACCGCATCTGGCAGGAATGGCGCTGTCCATCTCGACCCCACCAGAGTCTCGCGAGCCACCGTGGTTCGCCGGCCGAACGAAGGAGTTACGGGCGCCATGAACAGCGCGTTGTGGCTGACGACCCCGGGCGCCTACGTCGTGCGAGGTCCCAGAGCCCTGCGCTGTGGCTGCTTGCAGTCGCGCGCAACGTGTCGAAGTCCCTTGCACCGCAGACATCACTGAGGCAGCTTGCATGTTGCCACCCGATGTGTAGAGGAGAGGCAATTGAGGCACTTGCCGTGAAGGCTCTGCCGAGATGCGCCTAGGAGGTCGACGACTCGCAGATTGGTTGGGTCCTGTCCCCTCGCCGCCACTTGCAAGCACTCGTGGAAGGACCTCGCGCCAGCCATCTGCGTATGGGGCAGAGATGCGGCGGCGGCTGCCAGTGGGAACCCATGGGCCGAGCCTCAACAGTACTTTTCAACGAACGAACCGTGTTTTAATCTCACAATAAATCAGCATAAATATTAAAATAAGTCAAATTTCAGCCGTGCGAGCGTATGGATTACATTAGGCAGGCCGTGTACTACGCCCGTATAAACATTTCACTCTTCATTCATGATCGATTGATGCGTGCAGAGCGTTATCATAGGACACAGGATTTGGCAGGAATGACACACACAATTAGTAGGCGTGTGAATTTATGTTTCGCTCGCTGTGGGGCCGCCGCTCACGGTTTATGCCCAGCAGCAAGGCCCGGTCATCATCCTTCTCGATTGTTATTCGCATGCTCGAAAAGGGTACCATGGCATGTAGTACTCCTGCATGCACAGCACAGCGCTAGAGCCAAGAAGCTGACAAACTATGCATACATGGGGTTCATCCGTTCGTGGGATGAATGTGTTGATGGTGCTGAACAGATAAGCAATGCATTGAAGCACCGCGTTGCTTCACCACACACACGGCACTAAAACACCACTAAAAACCCAGACGAAAGATGAAAATATAAAAAAGTATCAATATTTACGATGCTAAATAAATATCATTAGATTAATTATAAAATATGTTTTTATAATAAATTAATTTAAAGCCATAAATATGAATAATATTTATTAAAAACTTAGTTAAGCTTGAACTATTTTTTAGCACGCAACCTATAGTCACATGTTTTCATGGATAGATAGAGGACCATAGCATGTACTCCTCCTGCATGCACTGATGCACAGCTAGCTAGAGCCAAGTGCCGGTTTAGTTACTAAAATTTTGCAAATTTTTTCAAGATTCTCCGTCACATCGAATCTTTTGGACGTATGCATGAAGCATTAAATATAAATAAAAAATAAAACTAATTACACAGTTTAGACGAAATTCACGAGACGAATCTTTTAAACCCAATTAAATTATGATTGGACACTAATTATCTAAATAACAACGAAAGTGCTACAATATTATTTTTCAAAAAAATCGCCAACTAAACAAGGCCCAAAACCAATAAGTGGACGAACTATGCATGCACATGCTCTGGGTTCATCCGTTCATGGGATGAGTACGTGTTGATGGTGCTGAACAGATCAGCAATGCATTGCTTCTCCACACCGCACACACCACCAAAAATCAAGACGAAAGAGGAAAATATGGTAGGAGTGGAACAAGAAAAGATTGTTAATAAGAGGATCCATAACCTGGTGCAAAGAAAAAAAAAACGGAGCAATGGCATGCCATGCAAATAACTTGAGCAGCAGGGGGCAGTGGCACCACGCTCACACACCGAGCTAAGTGCACGCCACTGTCCATCCTGCTCCCACTCCCCTCACTCCCACGCGTACGCACAGCACCGCCGCGCCGAGCCGGCCGCACTCCGCTCCACGCTCTCGCCCCGCACAATGCGCCGCCTCCGCCGCGCCGCCGCGCTCCCCCTCCCTCTCTTCCTCCTCGCCCTCGCGGCCACCACCACCACAAAGTCCACAACGGCGGCGGCGGCGGCCGTGGCGAAGGCTCCCGCGGCAGCGGCGCCGCCGGCGCCTCCGAACGTGACCGCGGAGATGGCCAAGGGCGGGTGCAAGGCGTTCGCGGACCTGATCGCGGCGTCCCCCGACGCGTCGTCCACGTACCAGTCGGCCGTGGAGGGCGGCATGACGGTGTTCTGCCCCTCCGACGACGCCGTGCGGGCGTTCCTGCCCAAGTACAGGAACCTCAGCGCGGACGGGAAAGCGGAGCTGCTGCTGTTCCACGCCGTGCCCGTGCACTACTCGCTGGGGAGCCTCAAGTCCAACAACGGGCCCATGAACACGCTGGCCACCGACGGCGCCGCCCGGAACTTCAACTTCACGGTGCAGAACCAGGGCGACGTCGTCACCATCCGGACGGCCGCCGCCAGTGGCGGCGCGCCGCCCGCGCGGGTCAAGTCCACGGCGGTCGACAGGGACCCGCTCGCCATCTACGTCATCAGCGCCGTGGTGGAGCCCGTGGAGCTCTTCAAGCCTGCGCCGGCGCCGACGCCCGCGCCCGCGCCCGCCCCCGCCGCCGCGGACGCGCCCACCAAGGCCGGCAAGGCGGCCGCGCGCCAGAGCCACGCGCCGCCCGCCGTGGCCGACGCGCCCGGCCCCGACGCGGAAGACAACGCGGCTCCTGTGGACCAGAAGGACGCCAAGAAGAGCGCGGCCGCCGGCGCGCCGTGCGACCGGTGGTGGCTCGCCGGCTCGCTGGCGGCGGCCGTGGCCTCAGCATTGGCTTAGCGATCGATGAATGGGCTTTCTTTTTACGTTTTGTTTTTTCTTTTCCGGTGATGATCCATTGGCGTGTCACGTGTGATCGTGGTTGTGATGGCGTGCTTGCGAGGTTTGTGTTTTTTTTCTCGATCGGGAGAAAATAGTGTATGCGTGCTTACATATTCGTGCTTCGGTTTAGATTTTTCTTCTTGATTTTTTTTAGTTCTACCTGTCACCACTAGAGTGAGGTTCAGACGTTCAGTGCGTGTTTATCAGGAGGTGTTTGTATTTTTGGTTTTGACGGACGAGTGAAGTCTCAAGTCTGGGCATTGAATTGCTGATTCTGACGACGACGAGCTTCTGGGGGTTTTCTAATGTTCTTGGTTAGCATCGCTGGTATGGTATCCCAATTTCTAATGTTCTTGGTCAAATCTCCCTAACAAAATCTGACCTGTTCTAAAAAGAAAATCTGACTTGCTGAGGCCTTCATCGGAGCCCATAAACAAATGCATCGCCGGATCCTTGCTTGGCTCCGAAGCGAGTGCTGCCCCCTGCGCATTCATTTCTTGCGTCTCCAGTTGTCGGTGGATGCCATTCATTCGACGCTGATCGCGGGTCAAACAACTCCCCACCTGTAATGCTGTTTGTGAGAGAAAAAACTATATCAATCAAACAGGGTGCCAAACCACACACTAAAAGTATACTCCTCCTACAGCGTACTACACAACCATAAAAACAAGTGGAGTGTGTGTGGCAGTAATAATAAAACAAGTGTTTGCCCAGGCCAGGAGGACAAAGCGAGGCCGATCCGGGCGGCAGCAGAGCACTGCGGAAGAGCGAGCAGCGCTCGTGAGCTCCGGGGGCTTCTATTTTTGGCCCCGATCATTTGCGATGGAGCACGAAAGCGAGCAGTGCGCCACCGACGAAAGGGTGGGCCTCTGACGCAGCTGCCACCGCCCACTGTGTCATCCTCCCAACATAGCCCAAACATCTTTTGGTGCAGGAGAGTACTTTGCACCGTCGGTTCATGTCCGTCCGTCCACACAACACACAACCAACGCCAGTCTCCTGCCAGTGCCAGAGGATGATGGCTTAAATCTGACGGAGGCACGGAGCTCGGCTTTCCCGAATCGCCGTGCAGTGCAGTCGTCAGTCGTCACAAGGAACCTGGGAGACCGCCACGTAGGAACTAACGCCTGTGGGCCCAGGCACCGGTGCCACTGCTTGGCGAATACTCTCTGTGTTTGGTTTCAGGGATGACCGGAAACTAGGAGGATTCCCGCGCGTTGCCACGGGTACGAAGAAGGAATATAAATGGGTTTCAATGTTAACCACTAAGGCCTGTTTGGCATGACTCCGGCTCGTGAAAAAACAGCTCTAGCTCTGGCTCGTATGGAAAAGCAGTTTTTTTTGACTCTGACTTATTTTGTACGAAAACGTTTGGCAAAACGGTTTCTCCTAGTATAAAGAAGATGTGAAATGTCCAAAATACCCTTATATTTTTTTTTTCTTTTTTCTCTTCATTTTTCTTTTTTTTTTTTTCTTTTTCTTTCCTTCTCCCTTCTTTTCTTCTCCTTATCCGAACGGCCTCGCTCCATCCATCTCTCTCTCTCGCGTTCGGATAAGGAGCTACTGGCACCCACTCCCTCCATCAATCTCTCTCTCTCTCTCTCTCTCTCTCTCAAGAGCGTAGCAAGGGCGGAAATGGCTTCGAGGCCGGGACACCGAGGAGAGGAGGGGCCGACATGGGGGCGGAGCTGGGGAGCTCGAGGTCGGGTGAGGCGGAGCTGGAGACCGTGGTGGGTGGAGCAGGAGAGGCAGTGGTGAGGCGGAGCGGAGCAGGGAGAAGCCGACGGTGGGGCGGAGCTCGAGGCCGACGGAGTGGAGCATGGAGAAGCCGGCGGGGCGGAGCTCAAGGCCGACGGGGGCAACAGTGGGGCGGGTTGTCGCGCTGTGACGTCGGGAGGAGAGCAAGCCGGGACGGGGATGGAAAGTGACGAGCTCGAGCAGGGGTAAGCCAAGATATTTTGGCTTCTCGCGTGGGGAGGAAGGCTGAGTCACCGGGTTTTATGGGGCTTTTTTGGCTTCTTGCATAAGCCGCTTTTACTGTCGCCGTTTAAGGAGGCCGCCAAGCCGCCGAGGAGCAGCATGCAAAGCCCCCGCCAAAGGGGGCTAAGAATTAGGAGATGTATATGTATGGTGTTGGTAATGCAGGAGCATGATAATATATATATATATATATATATATATATATATATATATATATATATATATATATATATATATATATATATTAGCACAATCGTGGAGATTGTATCCATTGTCATATACGGTATAGATTATTTAAACTAATATCTTAACTCCGAAGTGAAGTAATACTGAACGGAAATATTTAAATGGGTTGCATAGGTTACAAATTTTGGTCATGGAATAAAAGGAAGATACTAATATTTTTCAGGAAGTGCTCCGTAGCTGATTGGATGCCTTTAATTGTTTGTCCACGTCTGATATTGGGATGAATTTGAAAGGTTACCTACGTTAAGACGAAGAATCATATATATGTTAGATATTAGAGTCGAGTAAAAGAAATTATTTTGTTTTTGGAACACTGTATCGTTGCACAATTATTTGTGAAGTAATACTTACTATTTCTTTGTTGTTTGCCTTCAGGATCAGTTTCTTACATTTGAGTGAAATCAATCTTTCGTTTTGTCACTGAGTTGCTGCGAAATTGCATACTTGGTTGGTTGTTATATTTGAATCATGGGTGTGTTGAAACCAACAAGTGAACATGTATATTTGAATCATGGGTGTGTTGTGAGATGGGTAAAATTGAATATTTTTGGATGGATATGATTGAAAATTTACCTGAGTAGTTGGACTGATGCTGGTTGTATAGCTTCTGTGGCCGGAGGTGTGTTCGTGGTGGACATTCCAGCTTCCGCGTTTGTTTCCTGAATTTAGTTAAACTGTTAAAGCTGGGTAGTATGAGAGTTGAAGGTAAAAAAATTTAGTTGACCACTAAGCCAACATTTTTTGGCTGACCTGTGAAGATGGAAGCTCCGTGATTGTTTCGTGATCATCAATTTTGAAAGATCTCTTGAGGACATATCTGATAGGGTATCTCTTGAGGACATATACCACGGCCACGCGTTGGACGAAATGAATTCTCTCCATTGTCCATTACGTCAAAACTTTAGAAAATTGAAAATGTTAAAACTTCAGAACTAAAAGAAATCGATGGCAATAATTTCCATCGAAGCACCATCCGCAATTATAGGAAATAATCTATCATCATATAGCACACGACAACAATATACAAATGGTATATGTTTTCGAGAGGAACCTGATTTGAAGATCCAACAGCTCAATTATAATGCATGGACTCTGAAGAGATATGCAGCTAGTGGATGTATTACGTAACCTGCACAAAATTAGAGGGTAATAGTTGATGAGCGTAGATCTTGATTATTTCGAAATTGGAAATATGGACACAACAGAACATAAATGCACCTGGACTTGCGATGGGGATGATAATCTGAGGGGACATCCACATGGAGTGTAGCATATAATAATATAAATATACATAGAAGACATGGAAACGAAGAGGCATAATCAATTAATTCAAATAATGATTTCGGTTACAGAAAGAATTCAAAGGGAAGGACATCGGCAACGGGTAGGCAGCACACGTAGGGCTGAACAAAATACTCGTGACTCGTCAACTCGCTTGACTTGTGGCCAGGTCGACTCGGCTCATTTTAACTTTTTTCACGAGCTGAGCTGGAAGTCTAGCTTGCTATTTTAACGAGTCAGCTCGCTAGCTGCTCACGAGCTGAAACAAGCTGAGGCCTATAGCCTACGACCATGAATCCGAAGATGATGATGCTGACCTAGAAGTGTACACCTATTCTATTGGTATGTAATCCTTATTTTTAGCTGTTCCATATGAATTTTAATTTTATAATTATTGTGGTACTTAAATGTTGATTTTATGGATTATTTTCTAGGGAAAGAAGATGATGATGCTGACATTGAATCTGTGGACTTTCCTAAGTTTGTGGTGGCAAACAACTAGTTAGTATGCTGGAACTACATGATCATGGATGGACCAGCTATGTTTCATGGTTGATATTTTTGATGAACATGATATGTATTAATCATGTATGGTTGCATAATGGTGGACGTCATCTTCTAGAATTAATGTAGCATAAACATTATAAACATGTGTGTCCTATTTTTTTGTCGTAGCTCGCGAGCTAAACGAGCCAGCTCAAGCTTGGTAACGAGCCGAGTCGAGCTACCCCTCTAACTCGTAATATTAACGAGTCGAGCCGAGCTGACTCGTTAGCCTAACGAGCCAGCTCGAGCTGAACCGAGCCGAGCCGAGCTGGCTCGATATCCAGCCCTAATCACACGTAGGTAGCAGGCAGGAACGATGGGACTAAGAAGGGGAGGGGAAGGGCGTCCATGTGGGTCGGCGCGGGAAGGTGAGCAGGCATCGGAGGAGAGGACCACACATGCGTAGGAGGAGACCGCGGTAGCTGCAAGAAGGGGAGGAGAAGGGCCATGCTATGGATGGGTGCAGAGGCGTGGGAGGAGAGAAGCACACGGACGCAGTAGGAGGAAGAAGTGGAGTGGAGGGGAGGGGAGGGGAAGGGCGGGGCGTGGAGCACTTGGAGGTGGAGTGTTGGGGAAGGGTGGCAGGGTGGAGCACTTGAGCGGCAGGCAAGAGGAGGCGGCGGTCTGTTTTTTCCGTGGAGGACGGAGGGAATATGAAGGTGGAGGTGGAGGTAGATGTGTGAGCAATAATTGATGGGTTTTCCTAAACTGATAATGTGTTTCTTTTTTTTAAGACAAAACTTCTATATGGAGGTGGAGGATGCATGTGGTCCTCTTCGTGCAAAGGAGGAGGCCGGTACAGGAAGTGAATGACTTGGCTTAAGGAGATGCTAGAGAAATAAGAAGTGGGGTTTTGCTTTATAAGAGTTTAGGATGGGCTAGATCGATCCCCATTTTGATAACGT